TTATTACTAAAAATTAAACAAGAAGTTAATAGAAAAGCAAAAACAAGATCAAATAAATATGCATGGTAAAAAACTAAATCAATTGAAAAAACATATTCAAAATTTAAATTATAAACAATAAAATTCGATAAAAAATAGGATAAAGCATTTATAGTAAAAAACTTTAAAAAATACTATATTTATCTTAGTAAACTTTCAATTAAAATTAAAGAAAGACAATAAATATATCATATGATATGTTATGAAATCAAACATGTGGGTGGTCGAGTTTGACCCAGCAAACCCGGCTTGCACCGGTCAGGCCCGTCGTGCTTTTTGACGCACGCCCTATGCAAAAGCAAACATTCTATTAGGGCTAAAAAAACTAGGGAAAAAAACCAAGACCATAGATCCATATAAAAAACTCGGTAAAAATTAAATTAGTAGGCTTTAATGTTGTTATCCAAAATGAAAACTATTTAAAATAAAAACACTTAAAGCAAGATAAATTTTTATATATAAAAATTAAGGCAAAATAATACAGGGTGTCATATTATAAGTTGTCATCCCTTAAGCCCAAACTATCATTCCCCCCTTGGGGGAAAGTAAGCAGTTTGCATTAGCTCCGGAGCTATAGTCGGACGACTATACTTCGAACTTCGACAGCTGTTGCTGTCGCAAAAGAGTCAGTGGCTGCTAATCCATTGCCTAAAAATTACGTTAATTTTCATGAGTTTTTATTAAAAAACATTAGCACCAATGCTGTATTTTTTTTTTTCATTTAATAATTCCGTTTTTAATGTTATCCTTCAAATTACTTTTTTAATTTTGAAATATTTTTCTAATTGAAGGGATCAATGCAAGAAGTGTCTTGGTCACAAATAGGTGATTCTGAGATATTGCGATTTGAAGGTTTATTTTTGATTATGAAATATTGCACAAAATATTATGATCAAAATGTTTGTTGTATTGTATTCCTGGTAGAAAGTGGATTTGACTTCCATGATTAAAAAAGATAAAACGTTTTTGTTATATCCAAAAAATATATATACTAATTTGGGACTTGGGTACTTTTTGTGTTGAAATTTTTTTATTCTTTTTTAAATAAGGATTATATTAAGGATAAATTTGTTTATACTTAAAAAAGGTTTATTATATAACGCTGTAAAAAATACACAATTTGTGAACAAAACTTACTACATAAACATAATATGAATGACAAGAAACGCTTAAAGAAAAAGATTTCAACATGATAAGTAAAACTTAACTTAAAGCAAAAGGACATAATAAGAAGGCTGGCTAATCATAAACAGCGTCGGCCTCTTGTAACTGATCAAACTCTTCATCAATGGCATCATTTTGCTGAATTTTAGCATTTTGAGACAGGTTCAAACAAAAAATTCAGTGTCCAATAATTGAACAGATGGGTTACGTTGTTAAATTTCAACTGTTTAATTTTTAGATTGGTTCCATGTAAATGGGATTGCTAAGGTTGTGAGCTTGGGATGAAGTCAATGTTAGATAAGAATAACAAAATTATTTATACCTATATCCATTGTAAAAACGGTTACCAGTATGTTTTAAGGTAACACAAGCTGTTTTATTATATTTTACCTACCTGCCTTAGTCATGTTTTTAATCACAGACAGAAATTATTAGGATTAACACAGCTTCATAGGAAATTTGCTCAGATATTACCTAATTGAAATAACGTGGACTAAGGCACATGTTTCACATCTGTCAAAATGATGACTTAGGTACCTCTTGCATTGGTAAACTCATATTGAAATAAATGCAAACTAAGGCACTTAGACACAAGTTTCTGCCACTCTGCAAATACCACCTAAAAGCTTACATGAAAAAATCTCAGATGGCGAAACAATGTCAATTTTATTGAAAAATATTATTGAGGTACTTCTGGCATTGACCCCTTCAATTATTAAATTGTTTTTTATTATAAATGTGTCAATTTTTTGTATAACATTTTAAAATAAAACTTTTCAAGAACTATAATACCTACACTTAATTATTACATTAATACTACCTTAATTAATACCTTTCTGAGGGCAAAAATTTAACGATTTTGTTGATTTTTTTTTTTTGGGAGTTAATCATGATTTTATTTAAACAAACTATACAGAATCTAATATTGTATGGTTTTGACGTTTTTGTAAAAAAAAATCAGAAAAGTTGTAAAATTTAGGTTAAAATAATAAAATACCTATTTAAAATCTTTTTTTCTACTCCCACCTTTAAAACGCCCTTTATCGTACATGTTTCCATGACACTAAGTGTCCTGTTAAATACACAGGGCCGTGCCGTGATATGATGCGAGGATGCGGCCGCATCAGGCGGCACCGTAAAGGGGCGGCATTAGCAGCAACATCAAAAAAAAATATAGGTACAATTTAGATTTTTCAATACTTAAAAATCTTTATGCGACACTTTTTTAGATTACTCTGTATAATTCCGGTATTAACGTAGGCATTTAGTAAGATTGACTCGCAAAAAGGCGCCTCCCCCGCATATCAAATAACAGGTGCAAGTTTATGTGGAGTAATTCTTTGGTATTATATACAACCTGGGTTTGTAATTATTTTAACAAAGAAAGTTTTGTAAAGGTAAAATGCAATTTTGTAAGGATTTTGTTAATTTCAAAGGTTACAGATTATTTTGTTAATGTTTAACAAATTATTCCGTTGAAAAAGTACACGTGATTTCAGGCAGCCAATCAAAACATTTCCAAGCACAACACATTTATCAACAAGTGTCAGCTTCAACGGTTGTTTATAATATTTAACGGTGACAGGAGTGTTTATAATGTCATTATTGGTTTTCAAATTAAAATTAGGCGATATAGTGAAGTTAAAGTAAATCAGTAAGTGTTTTAAAAGTACTGATAGTTATATTGTACCAAATTTCTAAATAATCTGATGATTTCAGAATGGTGTGTTATTTCATTTTGTGTATGTTATTTTTGTGTTCATTTATGTAGGTATGTGTTAATTATGTTTTATTTAGAAAATTGTTTAATAAAGCAACATTTCTTATAAAAAATTCTGTTTTTAAAAGTTCCCAATTTACAACAAATACTTTTGGTACTGGGTCTTCATAAGAGTTTGTAAAAAATACAAGAGTTATGGTTGAAGTTGACATGAAATTTTGTTATTAAATCTACAAAATACAGTTGGTTGTAAACTTAACAAAAAGTTGTGTGGACCTGGATTAACATAAAATCTGGTTATTATTTGGTTAATATTAACAAATATTTTTTTACTGTGTATAAATGCAAAGAGAAGAACTATAGTTGTTATACATTACGTATACGTAATGTATCCCGGATGCGAAAATATTCTATGAAATCTTTAGACGGTTTAAATTACTTGTGCCAAAATAACTTAATTACTTTGTATCCGAACGCTTTTATAGTTTTGCGAATTTTATTAAGACTCCCTGTATCTGTAGCTAGTGAGGAAATAAGTTTTTCAAAATTAAAACTGATAAAAAACTACTCAGGAAATTCAATAAGCAAAACAAAACTTAGACATCTATCATTATTATCTATTGAATCTACATTAGCTGCCACTCTAGATTACACATCTTTAATTAACGAATTTGCTAAAATAAAAGTTAGAAGGATAAAATAATATTAAAGTTCTGTTATATTTATGTTTTTTTCAAATTAAAAGTATTTTCATTTTGTGCAGTTTTCTTGGGAATCTTTAATTAATTTAAAGAGAAAACATTTAAGGGGCGGCATTTCAATAACTTGCATCATACTGAAAAAATCTACCGCACGGCCCTGTTAATACACATTGACAAGTTGTGGCTTTATGGCGCTTTAGTCCCGGGCTGAAGTTAGCAACAGGATTTTAGTCACTGGCAGAAGTTATGAATAATGATTTGGAAACCCTCTCAATCCTTTTGAGAAAAGTTCCAAATGATGAAAAACCTTTTGAGCACTAATAAAAATGAGTTATTTTACAAATAATTTTACTAATCCCAGAAAAAGTTTTTGGCGCTTGGTTCCTTTTTGATAAGCGTTATCCAATTCTACTTTTAATGTCCCTATCGTTTGACAAATCAAATTATGCCTTAAAAAATGTCGTGTCATGCGGCTGAGAAGTTAAAAGCATCTGTTTGAGACAAATTCAACGATATTAAAAAGAAACTACATAAAAATGTAGATTCCCACTTTTCCCATCAGGTCGGCACCTATAGGTACCTACGCTATAATATTATTAGATTATAATTATAATTAAAATTATGGAAGTTTTACTTATTACCCTAAAAAAGTGTTTCTTATAACTAAATACAAATTTTTACTTGTTATTACTGGAATTATGTTTACAATGAACTATATACCTTGTAACATTTTGTTGGCAAATAGTCAATGATATTTTCATAAAATTGTGAAAATCATAACCCAATAAATATAGGTTTATTGGTTTCGGTTAGCCTTATATTTATGGCCCAAAATGGTGTTGGAAATATTTATGTTAGCAGTTTTTTTCATTCTTTTTATTATTTCTCTCTCACTATATATTTCTTCGTAAGCTATCTCTCTTATTTTAATATTATAAATTAAGGAACTTGTTCAAACCACAAAAACATTTAAGAAGTATGGCAAAAATATTAATTTTAGGTACTTATATAACATTTACTAAAAACAAAAAGTAAACAAAATTTAATGACCGAGGATACTTAAGGATTTCAATTCCCCAATTATTCCCATCAAGTCTAAACACAATCGCCACTTTCTTCACTACAGGCGATAACCATTATAAAACTGGCTATTTTATAAACCTTTTTATACTCTTTATAAGAGTGGATACTCACTGGATCTCCCTGGTTTACTTTTTTTCAACCTCAACTCTCCATATAAAAATTTACAATAAAATTGACAAAATAATAAAATAATTTTACCTAGTAAAAATTTGTGAAACTTGTATTACATATACTTAACATTTTCAAAACATTGTAATTGAATGAAATTTAAATCGATGCTTTTTTTGTTTCAGGGCATTGTATATAGAGACTGTAAACCAGAAAATATTCTACTTGACGACGCAGGTCACGTAAGGATCTCTGATTTAGGTTTAGCAGTAGATATACCAGAAGCGGAGTCAGTAAGGGGGAGAGTGGGGACTGTTGGATACATGGGTAAGAAATTTAACCATAATTAACAATTAAAATAAAAAGAAAATTAAATTTAAAGCGAAAAGCTATATTAAAGAAAATACAGACATAATTCAAAAAATTAAGTTATATCCTTGTCAAACTAAATTTTCTCCGGTTTTATGTACTTGTGAGAGTTAGTGCGTATATGAAATAAATATTAAAAGGGCAAATTCAGTTTATGTCAGCTTTTTTGATTTCCAGGAAATAATCGGAATTTGCCAATTTTATTTCAAGGATTTTATATTTTGTTTTATACTGATATTTGCATGTAGCATTCAGAATCAAATATGTCAATAACTTTAAACGAAATAAAAATGTTTTATAAATTGAAATTTGCACCTACATTCGAAGAATGTATTTTTTATTAAAAAAGGATATTGAACATTTAATGAAAATGTCCTCAAAACAATGTTGTTTAACTATAGTTATTAACCTTGTATAAACATTGGTAATTATAATATAATATATAATATATAAACATTGGTAATTATAATATAATATATAATATATACCTATATATAATAAGAGCCCTGTCAAAATATCAGCTAGATTAAAAATTGTTTAGGGGTCGCTCCACAGACCACCAAAACAAATGGACGGATTTGTTTACGTTTAAAAAGCGAGTAAAGCATAGTTTCACATTCTAAACACCGTCGAAAGAAACACGGCTTCCAACGTTGTCAGAAGTATAGATTACACGCCTTTTTGGACGTTCATCATAACATAATGAACATTAATAATTACCAGTAATTCGTTTGAATAATAAAAAAATTGTAAAAAGGATTTGTTCATCATTTTCTTTAGATATTTTTCTCTATTTAAAAAAGTAAATCATTTAATAATTATTAAAATTAAATATTAACAACGTTGGTAAATTCGTTCTATTTAAAAAAGTAAATCATTTAATAATTATTAAAATTAAATATTAACAACGTTGGTAAATTCGTCATATTTGACAGCATAGAAAAAGGTTGACAGCTTGTTGTTTTGTGTTTTCGTTTGTGTATTTCTATCGTGTTTAAGTTAATTATGGAGTTTAAATACATTATTTTTTACTAAAAATAATACATGGAAATATCGTACCTACCTACTTATTATTTTTTTAATCCCAATACGTCACTGGATGAAAACATAAAATTCTATCGCCAATTTAACGCTTAGACTGTGACCGTTTGTTGACGTCACTGGAAGAAAACATAAAATTCTATCTCCAATTTGACGCTTAGACTGTGACCGTTTGTTGACCGCAAACAAAGCATTGTTATTGAATGGCAATGCGCCGTCCATTTGTTTTGGTGGTCTGTGGGTCGCTCAATATTTTGAAAAATTTTTTAAATCGTCAAAAATTGAATTTTTGTTTTATTTTAATTTTTTTTCTCGTCTCAATATTATTAGTAATTATCTACTTATTGGAGTATACCGTACCTTCATTTCCAAGCTAACCATAGGGAAAATACATTGTAACTGGACCAGATAAGTCTTAGTCAGCACGAAGCGAAAAACGTTGTAGAAATGATTTGGACGCGTGGACAAGTACGCTAGCATGCGCCGTAACAGTTGACCTTGCTTCATACATCGATGCTTTATTATTGTTTTTTATTTTGTGCGGTGTAAATCTGGTAAAATTTGTTTTAGTACGCATGTCTCGACGACGCATCCAAATCATTTCTGAAAAGGTTCTCGCTTTGTGTTGACTGCGACTTATCTGGTCCAGTTACAATGTATTTTCCCCATGGTTAGCTTGCAAATGAAGGTACGGTATAAAGCATAGTACTCGAGATTAGGCGCATTATTTTACTCGTATAATAATATACTATTATATTAGATTACAAATTTCAAGTTAAAAGAAGTTAAAATTGTTATTTTCCCCACTGCACTTTATTTTTAAAATATAATTTCTTAACGTTATTTAAGTCAATGTCGCTACTTTTAGTAGAACATGGGTACTACATACATAATAAGTATATTACATACGTATTTTTTGTTGTTTCAGCTCCCGAAGTGATAGACAACGAACGATATACGTTCAGTCCGGATTGGTTTAGTTTCGGTTGTCTCTTGTACGAGATGATCGAGGGCCAGGCGCCGTTCCGCGCCCGCAAGGAAAAAGTGAAGCGCGAGGAGGTCGATCGCAGGGTGAAGAGCGATCAGGAAAAGTACACGAGCAAATTCACCGAAGACGCCAAACTCTTGTGCCAACAGCTGCTGGCCAAGTCTCCGCACCAACGGTTGGGCGGCAAGGCGGGCCGTCACGGCGCGTCCATCATCAAGCAGCACTCGTTCTTTCAGCAGATGAACTGGCGGCGGCTGGAGGCGGGCATCGTCGATCCGCCATTCGTACCTGATGTAAGAACATTTTTGTTTTGTTTTAAATACAATATAGTATATTGAATATACTATTTACTTGGATATAAAGTTAACATGGGAAACACAAATAAATAATTTAAATAAGTTCTGCTTGCTATTTAATAAGGTCATTAAGACGGTCAGTAACCTTTTCAGTACTGCGACTTATGTACTTTGGGGTAGTTCAGGCACATCTTGTCTATGACATTATATTATGGGGTAACTCTAGTCATATAAACAAAGTTTTTATAATGCAAAAAAAAGATCCTTAGGTGCATGGATAACAAAAGTCAAACATATTCTTGTAAACCATTGTTTAGAAAATACAGAATTTTCACTGTTCCCTGTTTATACATATTAATTTGATTTTATATATTTTTGACAATAAATAAGACATTTTAACTCATAGTAACATACATAGTTATTCAACAAGAAGTCAAAATGAGTTAGCTTTGCCACTTTATAGGCTCTCTGTATGTCAAAATTCTATTTATATGGGAATTAAATGTTATAATAAAGTTATGTCTATTGCTTCTTATTGTAAATGTTCCAATTTGTTAAAAAAATAAGCTGCAGACTCTGTTTTTAAAGAAAGAATACTATTCTGTGGAAGTTTCTTAATGATAATTTTTAAAATATTTTTCTTTTTTGTGTTCCTAGTGTTTTTATATATTATTTTGTAATTTTACTTGACTGTGTTATGAATAAATATTATTATTATTAATATTACCGTATTATGCTATTTTTTTCAATATAGCCATCAGTAAGTATTTAATTAGAAACATTCAATGAAAATTTAATTAAATTACGACATTATATTAAAGTTTAAATGGTTTATCTAAAATATTTTTAGATTTGTCTAAAAGTTGTCAGAATATTCAAACCCATTTATTTCTATTTATTCCCATGGTAATGTAAATGATATAAACCATTTCAAACAAAAGTAATTAATATAAATTTGTTTTTCTACTCCCACCTTTAAAACGCCCTTTATCGTACATGTTTCCATGACACTAAGTGACCTTTTAAATACACATTGACAAGTTGTGGCTTTACGGCGCTTTAGTCAAAGGCTAAAGTTAGCAACAGGATTTTAGTCACGGGCTGAAGTTAGTTTTAAGTTAGTTGACAGTTGTCAAATGTCATACAATCGTTAAAATAAAGTGCCTTTCTCGTAAAATAATACTAAATGTGAAAATTATTTTATTATCTCAATACAAAAATACAAAAATATTAAATAGTTTCTCAACGGCAATATTTGAAAAGTTTATATGAACATTGTACTGACATTTTAATTTCGCCGGCAGTAAACTATAACTTAAATTCGGGCACGAACTCTACTGTAAAGTCCTCATAAAACATTTCCTTTACTTTCACTGTGAAAAACTGTCAATTTTCAAGATAAATTTCGATTTTTAACCTTTATAATTGTGTTTATAAAATGTAAAAATGTGACATTTGACAGTTTCCCCTGTTGTTTCATAGATGGCGCTCTATACAAATTTTTGATTTAAATCATTTTAAGATAATAATAAGTATTTGTCGTAGAAAAAGTATAGTATGCACCTTGTTTATAAACTTTTCTATACACTCATTAACTTAACTTAACAAATTAAATTCGTGTATAAAATGGCGTTTATCCGAGGGGTCACCCACACCTGGGAATCCCTGGACATTTTAGAGGGGGAATACCATAGGAATACAATGGAAATACATAGGAATAGAATAAAATATAATGGGAATACATGGGAATCCCTGGACGTTTTCCCTTTGGGTGGTTGACCCCTCGCGTTTATCAAACTTGATACATAATATACTATTATCTACTTCTACATTGACGAGCTGTGACTTTATGACGTTTTAGTCACGGGTTAAAGTTAACAACAGTGGCTTTTGGGCATTTTAGTCACGGGCTGAAGTTAGCTTTATTATAAATTTCGAAAAAATGTCAAATATTTATGAATTTAAATTTGCTTTAAATTCTTATTTCTGTTCGTCGTAGATAAAGTATAGTTTGCAACTCGTTTTATAAACTTCTCTAGATACTCGTTTTTATTAACCACTCGCTCGCTAGCTTCGCTCGTGCCTAATAAAACTAAAATGGCGTTTATAAAACTTGTTACATAATATACTATTTTCATGACACTAAGTAACCTTTTAAATACACATTGACAAGTTGTGGCTTTATAGCGGTTTAGTCACGGGCTGAAGTTAGCAACAGGTTTTTAGTCGCGGGCTGAAGTTAGTTTTAAGTTAATTGACAGTTGTCAAATGTCATATAACACCCTACCTACAAAAAAAAGTGGAATGAACTTTACATGTGAGTATACTACCTCTATGGATTTTGAGCCGCTGAATCCGAATCCGGTCTTATAATTTCCCCTGAACCCCCCTGTTTTCCCCTAGCCTAAGGGAAATGCTTGAAATCTTGGAAATTTCAGTATACAGGGTGTTTCAAAAAACATGCGCCAACGCTCGGCTGGAGATTCCTTATCCAAAAATAAGAAGAAAAAGTCATATAAACGTGGGTCCGAAAATGCTTAGTTTTTAAGATACAGGGTGTTAATTTTTTTTTTAAAAACGGCTTTTTTAAAATATCTTAAATATCCTTTAGCCGATTCTGTTGAAATTTGACAACGTTATTTATGGTAATAAATAGCTAATTTTTCTTTAACTACGTTAAAATTTTCAAGTCCAGTGGCGTCCCGGGGGCACCTTAAGAAATATTATTAAGAAAAAAAATGTGCGCCACTGATTTTTTGCAGGTTTTATACATTTTTTAGATTAAGCCAACTTTTTTGTCTCTTGAGTATTTTTCGTATCTAACCTCGTTTTCGAAAGAAAAAATAAAAACCACATTATTACATGAAAATTGACAAAACTCGTATAAAACCTGCAAAAAAATCAGTGGCGCACATTTTTTTTCTTAATAATATTTCTTAAGGTGCCCCCCGGGACCCCACTGGACTTGAAAATTTTAACGTAGCTAAAGAAAAATTAGCTACTTATTACTATAAATAACGTTGTCAAATTTCAACAGAATCGGCCAAAGGATATTTAAGATATTTTAAAAAAGCCGTTAAAAAAAAATATTTAACACCCTGTATCTTAAAAACTAAGCATTTTTGGACCCACGTTTATATGACTTTTTCTTCTTATTTTTGTATAATGAATCTCCAGCCGAGCGTTGGCGCATGTTTTTTGAAACACCCTGTATGTAAAAGCAATTTTGATCTAAGCAATATTAAATGAAACGATATTGTTTTCACGTATCTCGAGTCGCTTAGTTTGAATCTCACTGTAGAATTTCCCTAGAGTACCTCAGAAGTCTACTAGCCTAGGAGAAAAAGTGTTAAGCTGAGCAAAATTTGCGATTTCTGGAAGGTTCTATTTTTGCGCAAGAAAGCTTATATATTTTCGTATTTTGAGTTCCTGAATTCATATCTGACGTAAAAAATGTTCCACGGTACTTTAGAATTTTCCTAGCCGAGAGAAAAACGTAGAAAATTGTGCAAAAATCGGGTAAAAAGGGGTAGTATACTCACATGTAAAGTTCATTCCACTATTTTGTTTTTGTGGGCCTGCGTAATCGTTAAAATAAAGTCCCTTTTTTGTAAAATAATGTAAAAAATGTGAAAATTATTTTATTATCTCAATACAAAAATATAAAAGTATTAAATAGTTTCTCAACCCCAATATTTGAAAAGTTTATATGATCATTGTTATGACCTTTTAATTTCGCCGGCAGTAAACTAGATATAACTTAAATTCGGGCTCGGACTCCACTGTGAAGTGATCATAAAACATTTTCTTCACTTTCACTGTGAAAAACTGTTGTTATTCCATTTAAGCACCCGCTCGCAAGCCCCCTCGTGCCTAAATTAAATTCGTGTCTAACATGGCGTTTATCAAACTTGATACATACTATACTATTTTCTATTCTATACTATACTATACTATTTTCTATTCCTAGTAGTTTTTTTAGACAAAACAGTGTTTTTTGAAAACACTGTTGTTTTCACACTTAATAAATATAATGTAAAAGTTAACTTTTATTGAATTTTTTCTTCAAATTTTTAGTAATTTATATTCTGTGGTATACAATTTTCGAAAAAATATAGTTTGATACTCGATTGCGAAATTCTTTGCATTCTCGAATGTTTTTTTTGGTCACAAAAAACTTTCATTATCAAATGCAAAATTTGTATTTTGCAATCTATCATTATAAATAACTATTAACAGCCTAGGAGATAATCGAATACATTTGTAGTAAGCGTTGACAATAATAAAGCTTAAATTATAGAACGAAGATAAATAGAAGATAAAGTATTTACTTTTTTAGCCGCACGCGGTCTATGCGAAAGACGTGCTGGACATCGAACAGTTTTCGACTGTTAAAGGCGTGAACATCGACGAGAGCGACTCGTCGTTCTACAAGAAGTTCAGTTCGGGCTGCGTGTCGATACCTTGGCAGTCGGAGATGATCGAGACCGAATGCTTTCGACAACTGAACGTGTTCGGTCCGAACAAGACGAGGTCTGTCGATTTGATTCTGCAACCCGCCGCACCTTCTGAGACCAAGGGATGCTTTCCGTTTAGACGAAAGGTAAATTGTTTTGGCATTAATAAAACAACTTTTAGTTATAATATTATACAGGGGGCACCAAGAATCCTTCTATGTATGCATATCTTTTTTATTTGAAAAGCTACCAGGTGTGTACCTACACACAAAGTTTGTTTTTTTTATTCATAATTATAAATTATAATGCACAAAGACAAAGTTAACAGAAAACAGCATATTGATGAAATAATTAATTTGTGCTGCATAAATCCAATAAATAATTTGAGGTAGCCCAATTAAAATTTAGGGTTCCTAGAATTTGCCAACTAAGCCCCCAAACTTGCGACATTGTCAAATTCTGAATAAAAAAAACAAACTGTATACTATGTGCTATACGTTAAGATTTAAGTTTTTAAGTGGTCCACACCTGTTTAGTTTACACGGATGATTCCTATTATATTACTACTTGTTGGTTATTTATTACTATAAACTTATGACGTAATAAATATTTTCCCTACAAAACACCTTGGAACATAGGGTTGTCCAAAAATCGAAATGTCTTAAATTAGAAAAATTAATTTGAAAATTAAGTTTAAAATATGCTAATTTATTAAAAGTAAACATGTTTTTGCTACTTCATCTTAAATCCCCAAGTTCTTACCTGGATTGCTTAGTGGTGCCATTCTGAGTACCACCCCCAGTAGCACAAAATATTGGTCCTATATGGGGCGCGTCTATGCCCAATATTTTATCTGGGGCCAATATTGGATTTATTTAGCCAATGTAAGCCCTATATTGGCATAAAATGATAATTTAATATCACACACCGGCAAATTTAAAGGAAAGTATAAAAATTTTGGTTTTTTTAGTTGTGCTGCAAAATTAGTTTTTTGTACTGTATTGTACGGCCTAGGCTTACATTTATTAGTAAATTTTATATATTTTGCAAATTTTGATCAAGTTAGTCCACGTCAAAATCGAAATTAACGTCAAACATCCCTTAGTTGTTGCATTAAGTGGGAAAGGTGTTCGTTAATTTCTGATAAAAGTTAGTTGTTTTTTCACAATCAATTGCTTACTGTTACTTGGTTGTGGCTTACTATAGTCACATTGACTGTGAAGTCCACAATGAGTGATTTAGCACCGACTGATATCGCTAGGGCTGCAGCAATGATCGAAAATGGTCGATCTTACAGTGATGTTGCAGGGATGTTTGGAAAATCAAAATCGACGATCGATCGAAATGTTACACGTTGGAGGCAAACTGGGGAGTATATTAGAAGACAAGGTCAAGGCAGAAAACGCTCAACCACGGCTGTAGATGATCGGTTTATAACATTACAAACACTTCGAAATAGACGCCAGACGGCAGTTCAAACAAGAAATGCACTGGAAGAGGTTCGTGGAACCAGAATAAGTGAGCGTACAGTTAGAAGAAGGTTAAAAGAAGTTGATATAAAGTCGTATAGTTCAAAAAAAGCCCCAAAACTCCAGAGACGTCATCGAGTAGCTCGACTAGCGTTTGCTCGAGAACACCAAAATTGGAACGAAGATCAGTGGGGTCGAGTTTTGTTCACGGATGAGAGCCGTTTCTGCGTAAATTCGATCGATGGCAGGGAAAGAGTGTATCGGCGTCCTGGAGAACAACATGAACAATTTAATTTTACTCCTACTGTCTCTTTCGGTGGAGGGTCAGTTATGGTGTGGGGTGGCATATGTTTAGGGGCCCGCGCGGAGTTGGTGGTGATTGATGGCGGTGCATTAACTGCAGATAGGTACATAAGAGATGTTCTGCAAGATAATGTAGTACCAATTGCCCCAAATTTCCTCCTAATGCAGGACAATGCTCGCCCGCACGTGGCTCATTGTGTAACTGACTTTTTAAACCAAATGGAAATACCGAAAATGAATTGGCCAGCATGCTCCCCGGACTTAAATACTATAGAACATGTATGGGACATGCTAGGCAGACGACTTAGATTAATAATTCCTGCTGTTCAAAACAAGGAAGAGGTAAAAGATGCTTTAATTGAAATATGGAAGAATTTACCTCAAGAAATGATCGACAACCTCATCAGAAGTATGGGAAGACAGATAACTGCAGTCATAAGAGCTCGTGGAGGAAACACATGTTATTGAAAACAATAATCCTTATTATTTTTCCTGATCATTAAATGTTTAAAACAAATTTAAATGTGCAATCCTATTTTTTGCAAAAACGCAATTTTATGTCTTGAGTTTATAAATAGGCTTCAAAAGAATATAAAGCTTTGCAAAACAAACTAAGCCATTAGTTAACATTTTTTAAGAGATTTCGTTTAAATTTATTCGGAGAAAAACAAGTTATGGGGAAAAAATAGAAATTTATCTCTGTTCCTTTAAATTTGCCGGTGTGTGTATCATTGCCAATGTTTATTATTATTGGTCCTATATTGGCATATTATTTTACGCCAATATATCATTAACTATAGTCAACGATGCTTTCGGATTTCTAAAAGTGATATGTAACGACACACGTTTGTTTCTAGGATATGTCTATACTAGTGGCGCAGGAACGGTTTTAAGTTAGGGGGTGGCGCAACCGACTACCATCCTTATTGTTTAGCACCAAATGGGTGAAAATAATAAAGGCCATTCTTGCATATTACCGTAAGAATAACAAGGGTAATAAGCGATTTCTTGTTTTGTTAGCAACAAAATTCGTTATTACGTTAATAAAGCTCAAGCTGATCATTTTAGCACACGATACAAACGATTTTAGCATTTCATCGTAATACTAGGTGGCTATCTTTTTTTTTCTTTCAATTTTTCCCTAAACTTTCCTAGAATATAATGTAAAACAACTTCGGGCCAATGCGGATTTCCAATATCGGTTATATAATGTCAAACAACTTCAGACCAATGTTGGATTTCAATATTAGACCATGCTAGACAAAAGTAATATATATTGGCCCAATATTATTACGAATATTGGGCCAATATTTTTTTGCTACTGGGGACTTAACTTATTGAACTACTATGTTACGCCTACAAAAACAAAGGCTTATTTAAAAATCCATCTGGATTATACACGGTAACAAAATTGAAGGTGCTCCTTAACGTATTAGAACAGCGGAAAATAAAGAAGCTATTTGTAATGCTTTTGATGCAAATAGTAGAAAGAGCATAAGGGAAGTTGCACGCGAATTTCCCGTTCACAGTTCAGCGGGTTATGAAGGATATGGAGTGGAATTCTGTAGTGCTAGAGATTTTGGCTTTGGGGTACAGAACTAATTGTTTGATTTTTACTTTAAAACATTGGTGTCCTGAAGTATGACATTCTTTTTGAAAGGTTAGTAAACACAGTCGACCAAAAGTTTTAAGAACTATGTTCTATCGTCTCCTAGCAATGTTTAAAGCTTCTAACTTAGGCGAGAGCTCTCGGTATTGGCTTTTAAATTTGGCATCTCCATTGCTATAAGCACGCCCCTTTTTCCCTGCGGACACCCTGTATTATTTTTTGAGAAATTATAATGTTGGTTATTTTGTTACAGAAGAAACAACTTCCGAGAACAAGACCAGTATCTATCAACCCTGCCTTGCTGCCTCCAATATCAGAAAGCTGATGTATCTAATGTATCTTTCAACATCTCATCATACCTGTCTTCCCTCCCTACCCCCCATTTTTGAGAAAAAAATAAACTCACTTTATATGAAATACAGCAACAAAATGGTATTGAACTGAACGCACAAGCTGCTTCTGTCTACGTTTAATATTGATTTAGATTAGGCCGTGCTATTTAAATATTTATTTTTTGAAGAGTATTACTGTTTAATCTTTTCACGTTCCTATAGGTTTAAGTATTTTTGCATTTCAAATGGCGAAAAGTAGGTATTATTTTTTAAGTCAATTTTATGAAAGTCAACAAGTAAAAATTCAACTTTTTTAATTTGTATAGTATTTTGTTAATTTTTACTCAGTTATTACGATCAAAATATTTATAAATATACACACTTGAACGTGAATTGAATATTTTATATTAGCTATTTTGTATTGTAACAAAATAGATTATTTTTTTAATTTCTATGTTAAACATCCAAGTTATATTTACATAATTTGTTAGTTACTTTGTTTTTGTATAAAACTGCACAACCGATTTTTTTGAATATTCAAAAAAATTCCAAAATTATTCTCGCCAAAAAACCAATATAATTTAGTCTCTGTAGTTCATAAAAAATCAGTTCATAATTATTAATGTTGAGCATGCACTTGTTCCATATTGGTAGATGATAACAATTATTATTCACGTTTTTCAACTATTATACTGTATACCAAATGATTTTTTTATATTTTATAATAATGTGCTGTTATGTGATTTTATATATACCTCTTTTTAAGTGAGATTTAATATTAGACATCATCTGCTAAAATGGGATACATTTAGTTTACGGGTTAAAGGTGTTTCACATCGTACATAACGTAACCGTCATCGATTGGCAACGCAGCACACGTTTCACAAATACAACGTTGCCAGTTTGCGACGTATCACATGCGTTATTTCAGTGTGAACCAGCTGTAAGTCTTCACACACAAAAAATAGTGAGTCATCTGAATGTTGGTTTATTTCATTCCATAAGTCACAAGAATACTGTAAGCTGAATTATATCTAGACTTGATGTATTAAAAAAAGACCATTATATTGTTTTATTGCGATTTTTATCTTTTATTCAATGGAACCCTATTTTTCCACAAGCTATGAAAATATTGTGATGTGTGCAATAAGTATTTATTTTCAGACCACCAACACCCAAATTGGGCCCTATACACCCTATTAAAAAAATGCACTTTAAAAAACAACCTCTAGGTTTTTTGTTTACATCTTCAGAGATGTGAGAGTTTGCCAAACTTTAAGTTTTACTAAAAATTAACTTATTGTATGGTGCCCAAGAGCACATTTCTGTTCTCTCTCAAGCCGAATCTTTTTTTCTCAACACCCGATTTATGTTGGTATCATACAATTTGTATGTACCTGACGAAATTTTGTTATTAATTTTTGCAAGATCTACATACATACAACAATAATTTTTAAAATGTGCAAACCAATTATAGTGAAACAAACAATTTTCATAGAGTGCAAACTAAAAGGGTGCAACGGTCAATGAGGAGTGAACTGTTAAGTGATGAGTTAAGTGCCACCTGTCATTGGACGCTTTTCACTGGACAAACAAAGGAGGTCAAACAAGAGGGGAGGTGGCCATCCGCAAAAAATTGATAAGTAACCATAAGCATATGCATGACCTAACACATAATCTGCAAATTAAACAAGACATATTTAAAACCCTAAGAAAGGCACACTGCGTAGGACAATAAAGCTGTCAACAACAAATGCGTAAGGCAAACCCAAACGAGACCAATAATAAACACTAGACACACAGAATAAACTAACACATTAATCATTATAACCCAAACATAGTAAAAAAAGCATAATAACCAAACTCTACTGGATTTGTAAACATTAGATTTGTTTAACTAATGCAATACTTAATTTTGGAATTTAAGAAAAAAAGACAAAACTCTACCACAGAACGTGCTTGGGCAACACAATAACTAATAAAAAGAAAATTGTTAGAAATTTCGCACTACTGCTACTAAAGCTACAAGTTACATATCCAGCTACTGAACTATCTATTGATGGTTTTCGGCATCAAGACTGAGGACACGGGCAATGACAATAACGAACAAGACGAAGACCTCGACTAGGAAACTACACCCCTGCAGTGAAATAACAACTCCCCAACTCCAAATAGTAATCCCAAATGTTTGGAGTAATACTAATCGACTGGTCTAGGGGGATTCCGCGTCGTACTTAGTTTTAAGTCGGCGTAATTGTCCCCCAAAAACAACAAACGTCTATCCCTCCCGTCCCTCCTCTATACTCTACTGGGCGTATAGTATCGGCTCGGCGAACTCGAGAATGGCTATTAAACCTATTCGCATGTCGCTCTCGAGCCCCAAATAGGGGACAGTACGGAAAGCAATGGACATTCGCACCCAGCAAACACGGGTGAAGCCGTGCAGTTGCTGGGGGCGAACAAAAATCGGCGTAAGTAAACATAGGCCTGTACGGGGTCCGGGAGTGATGAGGCAATGGGGCTGGTTATACGTCTGTTATACTCATACTCATCTACTCATACTCATACTTGACTAGTCGTGTCTGGCATAAAAAACCCTGGGAGAAAAAGCGAACTATATTGGCAATATTCGAAACCCAATATTTTTCAATGTGTGATCTGGGTTGCTATTCAAATTTGGAGAAGGTAAATATTATATTAATGTATTATAGATTCTATAATAATATAATAAGTAAATAATATTATTATTATGATATTATCTATTGGTAGTTGAATACAGAAGGGTGAAAGCGGAACGGTGCAGACATACACGCATCTGTCCTTTTTTATGGCGATAACCAATCAGTGCCAGATTTATTAGGGTACACCCGGCGGTAAATAAAATAAATAGCAGACATAAAAGTGTTATGTTTAGAATTGCTGCTTAATTTATTAATTTAACTTCTACAGTGTACCTGTTATGTTCCTATCAAACTATTTCAAACTTTAATAAATGTCATTTTTAATCGAGGGGTAAAACACTTTAAAGTTAGCGAGACCAGTTTTGATTTTTTCCTTATCAGTCGTTATCAATAAGGAAAAATCCCTATCAATAAGAAATTTCTCTTAGCGACGCGATGCACATGACTACCCCTGTTATTAATTCGTATGCGATTTTTAATTTAAAAAATCAGTGGTTACCCCTTGTTTTTAATCCATAACTTAAAAAATTAGGTAGGTACCTCTACGTACCTATAAGTGGCGGCGGTACTTAAATTGCACCCGGTTGTAAATCAGGTGCGGCACTGCAACCAATTGCAGAACGGATCAAGTTCAACAAAAAGAGACAGAAGCAGTATTTGCTGTTTTACACACTCGGCAACCCTTTAACTTATTGCGCTAGCAATATAGAAGTATAGTCGCCGCGGGGAATGATTTCCATTGCGTCATCAATGTGAACCAAGCACAAACATTACAATTAGCTGTTTCTTCTGTATTGTAGCGAGTACCACTCTGGATCTCGCAATGTCCTTGGTGACTCATCGCTGACTCTTGTACAGTAGTTATTAACAAACAACAATTATGATGATTAAGAATTAAACTATCCCCTTTTTTTTGAGGCGATGTTGCCATATAAAGAAAATATGACTCCCCTGTATCTTTTTAAATAATGAAGGAAGAATTTTTTAAACAATTTTCTGGAATTCCTTTATTTTGTCGCACTAATTGTGGGACACCCTGTATAAAGGAGACCAAACGCTAAAAACTTTTTCTGGGATAAACAAACTTATTTGCAAAATAACTCATTTTCAATGCTGCTCAAAAAATTAATAATGATTTGGGAACCTTCTCAATCCTTTTAAGAAAAGTTTCAAATGATTTTTGAGCATTATTAAATATGAGTTATTTTACAAATAATTTCACTAAGCCCAGAAAAAGTTTTTGGCGCTTGGTTCCTTTTCGATAAGCGTTATCCATATTATGGTATCAAAAATATTGGGTTGCCTATCTAAGGTTTCCAATATTCGAAATCTTAGATAGGCAACCCAATATATGTGTAATATGGGTTGATACTCAAATTTGCGGATAGGTAATATGCTGTTGAGTTTACATACTTCCACACATACAAATCATTTCTAACTGAGACTGTTTCCTTTTTGTTAAAATAGTTGAAATGAGAATCACGGGGATTGCGAGGCGCATGCGTAGCGGCTTTGCCGATTTTAAAAAAATTCAATATTTTTGTCCCCATTTGGGAAGTATAATAAATACTTTTTAATAAATTGTCTGAAAAAAAGCACTTAACAATAATAAACAAAAAATGATGATAATCCCGAACTAATTCCGGACATCCTAGGCATGCGCTTTTAAAAATATGGGGTTTAAAATGTAAAGTGCGCATGATAAATATTAAAATGCGCAAGCGGATGTCCGAACTAATTCGGGATTAGCACCGCGAAAACACCTAATGGCACAGGGGTGTACAAAAAAATAGCTTCTAGTACGTCAGCACCTCTTCGGCAATTCTAGTACAATTTTCAAAATTGCCTTCAATTAGAAAAAAATAATAAATCGATCGTTCTCGATCGAATCTTGAAATTGGGACAAAATTTTTAGCAACTTTTTTACTGTTGGTAACTGAGCCTACGTTACGGAGGGAATCACAGAGAAAGTTTCTTTATAGAGGGAATAGGAAGATTATATTATTATATAATCTTCTTAGGAGGGAATCGAGGGGTAAACCACTGATTTTTTAAAGTTAAAAATCGCTTACGAATTAACGGCTAAGGATAACAATAACAAGGGTAGTCATGTACAACTCGTCGCTAAGCACTGATTAAGCACCGATTAAGCAAGTTTATTTTATTGATAACGACTGATAAGGAAAAAAATCTCAACACAACATCCACTAACATTGAACGTTGGTCTCTAAGATTTTAATGTGGTTTACCCCTCGGAGGGAATATGGCGCAAGGCATCAAATGTCAACGTCAAATATTTTTTATAATCAACCATATGCATTTTGTTTGTTTTCTGTTGTATACCAATTCTTTTGGCATTTTTTTTATTGTGTTTACGAGATTATACATATTAGCCACTTTTTGCTTTTTATAAAGCCAAACCATAGAAAGTTATGTAAGCTTAACCTAGGAGTGCGTTCGAAATGAGAGTGTACTTTAGATATGGTATGAGGATAGGTATATAATCACGTGACTACATTATACCCGACTTCCTTGTTATTTTACGCGAAGCATAAACCTATAAAATTTATGTTTTATACACTATAGCAGCAGTGAGGTATACCAAACAGGCAAGTACTCTTGCGAATCCGCCATCCAGACAACAAAGAAGTGGCCCTTGGGGCATTCCTGGATATCGAAGGAGCGTTTGACAACACGTCATATGACTCAATAAATCGATCAGTAAGAGATCG